CGTGGGCGCGTGACTCATGAGAGCTGCCGGCGAGGCCTCCCCGCCCAGCCTGGCCAACACAAAGCTGCTGCTTTGAAGGCAGCGCTTTGGAGGCCCTGGCAGCTCTCGGCGCTGCTCGCCAGCTGCACGCCACCCAGACGAGCTGGTTTTGCTTAACGCTTCCCCGCAGCGCCCCAGCGAAGCAAACACGAGTGCGGCTCCCCGGCCAAGGAGGAAGCGGCTCAGCCAGGCGGCGGGAGACAGCGCTCTGGCTCGCCTCGGGAAACGTGTTTGCAATCACCGCCCGGGCAAGCGCTCCGCTTTGAACCCGGCCCAGCAGGCACAGTGCTAACCTCATGCCGTGACGAGCAGGCTCCAAACTTCCCAACGTGCTCCCCACGAGCCAGCTGGGGGCAAACAGGCCCCCTGCACTGCACAGGGATGGCAGAGCTTCCTAGGGCACCCCCCTCATCCTCCTCCCCTGCCGCGGGGAAAGGGGGTTTGCTCTGCCAACCCCGCTGGATCCAAACCCTCCAAGGGCTGGAAAAGCAACACCAAGCAGGCGCATATATGATGCACCCTGGCACAAAGGGGTGGCACCAAGAGTGGCGGCATCTAGGGATGGGATAGGCACCAAGAGGATTATACACTGGCTCCCCAGGTTGAAACCCTGGCAGTGCCCACTTGCTTGGCCACAGCAACCATGAGGGAAGCGATGTGAAGCCACCCAAGGTCCTGGTGTGTGTTGGCATGTCCCCCAGCGCCATATGGAGGAGGGGAGGGGCCATGGGAGGGAACGGGACATTACCTCCTCGCTGATCTCCTGCAGGATGGAGGGCTGCAGCTGCATTGCCTTGAAAAGTGTCCCCACCACGCAGCATTTCTCGCCTGCCTGCAGCTCACAGAGCTTCCTCAGGACCACATCATTCCCTGCGGAGAGAAACAGGGCTCAGCCAGCCTTGGGGACAGCTGCAAGGGCAGGCAAGGCTCCAGGCTGGCCAGGACCGGCTGGAAGGGCCTGAACATCGAGGCCAGCAAGAGGTGGCGGGGGAATGCTGCAAAGCCTCTTGCTTTTCCTTGAGCAGAGCCGAATACACATGTGTAAGCCAGATGGGGCCAACAGAGCGTACCAGAGAGCCAGCACTGCCTGCAGGCATTTCCTCTGTGTTGAGGGGGTGGAAAGCTGGGTCATGCCGGGGTCTGGAGGACCTGCAGCTCCCAGTCACCACCCAAGACAGCATGCAGAGTTCCCGCTGGGCCCACAGGTCCAGCTCTGTCCAGGAAGGGAGGGTGCACGGCTCTGGGATTGTCCCATCTAGGCATGAGGGGCTGGTGTTCTTGCGCCCCATCCAGGAGACGACCCAAACATCCCACTCAGATCTGACAGTCGGGAGAGATCATTCACCACCCCTAAGTCCGACCTCTGCCTCTGCCAGGGCCAGATCCTCCGCCCAGGATCCCTGCTGGAAACCAGGATCATCATCGCAGCTGGGCATTCGGAAAGATCCTGGCCTGAAGACAGGCTGCTGGGGAGGGACAGGGTTTCCCCTCACCCTCTCCCACTTCCCCAATGTGCTGTGAGTGGCTGTAAACAGGCCACTAGCAAAACCTGTGGCCGATGCCCCTGGAGCCTGTGGTCAGGCTGGAGAGGGCCCCTCTTGGGAAGGAGCTGAACCTTGACGGGAGCCCCAGCCGCACACAGGCATGAGCAGTGACTAAACGGTTCTCCACGAGGGAAAAATCCCTGTCTCTGGGGCCAGCTTTGAGGAGGGAGATCCCTGAAAGGCACAAACATGTCCTTGGACTTTGGCCAGAGGTGCATAGGGAGATATGGGCCAGGGGAAGAACATGTGCCTCAGGAGGCACAAAGAACATCGCAGCCCCAGCGCTTCATTGCCTTTGTGCCTGGGGAGCATTAGCAGACAACAAAAAATGCATCTCCCTTACTGCAAGCTGAGCCCAAGATTTCTCACCTCACCCACGAGGACCCAGAGACGCTTCAACC